TGAGACTTAAAAGGTACATTTAAATAACATAGGATTTATTTGGAAATGTATTTCTTAACTTCTGTTTCATTTAGGCAGTTATGAACATATAAAAGGTACCGAATGGACATTTTATCACCTAGAGGGTGGTTCTCTGGCTATCTCTAACACTGCAAAGAAATGAGACAACTCACCCTTGCCCAGTCCAGAGATGGCATCTGTGATCACCACCACCTTGTTTTGCACAGCTGACTTGGACAATAGCCACCGGACTGACTGGTAAATATAAATAATTCCACTGATCCCAAAAATCAGCAATGGTAGTGCAAGTATAGCAAAAATACCCATTTCTGCAGGAAACAGAAGACCATATGAGAGTAAAGGTAATATGCATTTATTATGTTTCGAATTATTCTTCCCTAAAAAAGAAATGTTTTCACCTCTAGAAAATTCAGTAATCATCATGCCAAAGGCTTGAAGCTTGTTTTCCAACCAATGGCTTGCTATTATTATTTAATAAACAGAGTAATATTATTTGTTTGCTTGTTTTCCTGTTCATTGCATGGTCTGAGCAAAACTGGATTCCTTTTAGTTAAAATTACTCTATGTTGGCAAAAAACATAATAAAACTTTAGCACAATTATTGCCTTGAAGCAAAACATAGACTAAAATATATTACTAGACAGAATATTTTAATTCTGATTACACATAATAGAAGTGTTTTCTGTTCTAAAAGATAGAGAAAACAGAATCACTTACTATGGCTATGAAGACTCCAGCTAGAGGTAAAGCATTCTTTTGTATTTTCCTAACTTTTTGTATTACAGGTTTAATTGAAGTCCTTTAGCAATTTTGTAGAGCATTGCATTCGTTGAGTCTGCTTGCCTGAATGAGAATGGCTCGTAAAGCCATGTGACAGAGATAACTTTAAAAGTAAATATAGCATCTACAGTGTGATTCACATGCCTGACCTATCTAGTCCAACAGGCTGGACAGTCATGTAAAAGCTCTCAGTACAGTATCAATTCAACTGTACACAGAAACGTCTATCCTTCCATACCACCTTCAGTTGCAGGTCATAGGACTGTCTCAGTTTCTTGTCACTGGCCTTAAACTTTACCCATAAACATTTGTATAAACTCGATGGTAACAATAGGTCTGCAAAGAAGTTGAAATAATCACTGTTCAGCAACATGAATAACACATGCATGAGTCAGGAAGAGGTCTTTGAGCAAGCTGGAACACAGACCAGGCTGGTGTAATGCAATGCTATTTGCCAGAGGCTGCTTTCCACTTTTGGCATCTGCAAAGCTGATGTGCCTCTTTCCCAGCAATTTCAGGACCGTATCAACTTTAGGTAAGTGATCTAACTGCTACATTTCCTGCAGGGAGACATTATCTGTTAACCTGACAATCACAGTTATGGGTTTCCTTTTGAGATTCTAGGGAAAAGAATGGTTTACCCATAAATCATTCCTGCTTTGCTGTTTAAAAAAATTGTATCATAGTCTTGAAATTGTAAGTTTTGACAACCAGATTCAGTACTTCTGTTCATGCTGTATAATTACTTATCTAAATTCTATGTTCTAATTTTCATTTCCAATGACAGAATGACAAGCCTACAAATGATAGAGGGTCATTGATATTGGAGTGTTCTACCAAGGCACAAAGACTTCATGGTTAGGTCTGCAGTTGTCAGGACAGTGTTAGCTTTCAGTGAGTGGGAAAGGATTGAAGGTCATTCAAGAGGGTATAGGAGGGGACTTTTAGACATATTTATAAACCTAACTTGCTCTAGAAGCTGACATTGGGAATCGAGATCAAGATGCATATTCCTGCCTGTGAAATTTGAAGTTGCCTGTCAAAGAGCCATTTAAGATTTCCAAACCACCAAATTGTTAATATACCAATGTTTGAAACACTGAGTGCAATTCTAGACTCCATAGTAAATGACAGATATGAATAGATACCTGTTTTCCAATGCAAAAAGGTCATGGGGTCCTGAAATTTGTATCAGTTTCCACAGGAGAATGTAAAAACATTAAGTCAAATGAGCTGAGAAGTTACCTGCAGAAGCAGAGAGGAAATCTGCTTTTCCATCACTATTAAAGCCTCATCTATTTTTATTTGCTTTTGAAGCATCAGCTTCAAATAAACAGTAAATAAGCTGGTTTGTTCCTTTTATGGAATAGGATGTGTTGTTAGTTTATTTATTCAAGGTTCTAAAAACATCAACAACAACAAAATCAACCCCAAAGTTCACACTAGAGAGAGGATTTACAGGAGTTTGAGGTTATTTGTTTGCTTTATTTTGAAATGAACTGGAGCAATGGTACAAGGACTGTAACAGCAAGAATAAGTCAATTGGAAGAACTATACAAGCAACAAGATGCAATAATGGATGGATAAAATGCTAAAATGTTTATTAATAATAATGAACAATTGTAAAGGAAGACTACCTGAGTCATCTGGAAAAAACAGAGACATACAGTGGCAACAATAACCAGCACACCGAAATCTTTCCAAACGCACGAATCTCAGTGGGTGAGGTATCAGAGAAATGCATTCTGCACTGCCACCTGCAGATCACCATTGGAAACACCAGAGAAAGGAGAATAATTATGCTTCAGAAGGTAGATCCCCTAAAAGGGTAAGTCATCTACAGGGAAACTTGAACAACAGTTCAAGCCAGCTCTGAAAAGTCTGAACATTCCCAACCCCTTTGTTCAGACCTGAGCTCCAGAAGCTGTCCCAGATGACACCAGACTAAACAATATGTGTCCAAACATGAAACTTGATGGAGATCCCTGAAGCGCTTGACCTAGAAGGCTGGCTGAGAGCATGAGCATGTACTTATATACATTTACATTACTTACATTTCAAATTGTTCAGAACTGCTCTATTTCCTTCAAATCTTGTGGTTTTTTTTATTTTTCTTGTATTTTCTTTTGATAGCTTTGACATCACTGAGCACACTGACATTATGGTTTCTACATAAAGATATTTTTGGTATTTGCTATAATTCCCATGTTTACACTCAGACTATAAAATTACTTTTTAGAAAGTAATGTGATCACAATACAAGAACCAGAAACTGTTGAATCAGAAACACAGTGTCTACAGAGGAACATCTAGTTCAAGTCAAACACACTGTAGGCTCAAGGTCTGGCTCCTCAGTCCGTGTGATTATTTATTTGATGTTCTCTTCCCACACATCCCCAGCAGTGGTGTGCAACAGTATGTAGATGCTGTTCCTACTACAAATTCCGAAATGCAAGCATCCTGATACTACAAGGACTGCTTAATTCAGCTCCACAGTATATCAAATAAGTGTAGAAACCAGTACCCATGAAGTTTATTCTCTATAAATGGGCTTGGAAGTTAGTGCCCCTTTTTGTGATCCCATATGTATACTCCTTTATGATACTTACCAGCTTTGAGGCCTGTATTCCCAGCCAGAAGCTAGAGCAGAGTACAGGCACATGCTTCACAAGCTCTCTATCAGCCTTTATTTTATATATTCTGCACATAGAATATAATTCTGTATCTTATTTATTCATGATAAGGGCCCATATCTCTACACTGCATCATGATGTTGGAGTCATCAGTATCTGATTCTGTGCAGAGTAATCACTTGTTACTAGCAGCTACATAAAAACATGTTTATACTGCACAAAACATCAGCAGAACAAAACCAAATCAGTCATACCCATGTTATCATTACAAAACTTGCTGTTACAGCTAACCAAAGAAAAAGAAAGATCCTGGGAAGCAAGGAAACTCTACCTGACTCAGCAGGCTTGGACTGCCAGCTCTGAATACCTGCCCAGAACACCATGAGGGCAGGAGACAGCCAAGAAGGTCCTGAGTTCCCAGACACCTTCCCCTTGGCACTGACACTTGGCACCAGGAGGCTGCAAGAGGGGCAGGTCTGAAGAGCAAAGGTGGATCACAAGTCTATGCATGCTTTTCCTCAGCCACCTCCTTGTCAAATCAATTGGAACAATTTCAAATCTTTAAAAGAAGAACAAAAAAAAAGCCCAAATTGGGCTTTCCATACTTGTAAAAGAAGAACAAAGAAGCCCAAATCAGGAATACTGAACTCCACAGAACTTGGTATTTATTGCCTGATTTTCTACTTCAGCTGCTTTAGGGCACCTGCCATAACGGGCAGTGCAGAGCACTGGCTGTGCTCTGCTGGATGTTTCCCTAGCGTCCTCACAGGTATCGTCAACCTGGTAATTACTATTCAATCTATCTTTGCTGTGAAAAAAAGGGGGTTTTGTCACACAGAACAGTTCTATCACATGCAGGAATTTCCCTGATTCAACTGTGTGTGTGTGTATGTACATGTTTGTGCACGTAAACGTGTGTGTGTGTTGAATATCCCCCTTTCCTTGCATGCACTAGGATTCCAGCAAGGAGGCACAGCATGAGGTCAGTGTCTAATGAGAGCAGTTAAAGCTCATCTGTTTAAAACTTGGCTTGTCAAATCCAGAGAAAATAAAGAGGTTGTACACTTCAGAAAGCAGGCAGCCATCCAACTCCTTGCATTTATGCAAAGGTAATCTCCATTGCTATGGGATGTCAGGGACAAAAGACCAGGCTCTCCTCAAGCCCAGAAACTATTGAGAAATCTGAAGGTTTACCAAGAGACAAACACTTCTGGATAGTATTGGAGGTTAGGACTGCAGGAGAGGAAGAAAGATGACTCTCTTGCAAACAAGATGCCCAATGTCTTTATTGAGAAACTCAAAAGAAAATGGAACAGATGAGAGCTTAAGAAACGCATTGTGGAATCTCAGTAAAGCATAGACAAGTGCTGCCATCTTAAAAGGAACCTCCACACCAAGGAAGCTCCTTTTTTGTTCTGAATCAGGTATCACTTGGACGTGTTAATATGGGAGGAAAAAGCAGATTAAGGAATTTCATGGGGAGCATGAAGCAAAACAGGGTAAAAAGGGTAGAAAAAAAGGAGGTTTCATCAGGGGGAAAGGAGACCTCAGGGGTGTCTCCAGGGCTTTGGTGGAGGCTGCTGGCGCTGGAGCACGGGCAGGCAATGCACGGGCTTCAGCATAAGAGATTGGCACGTCCCAGAGCCCCGCCGAGCCCCCGGCCCAGCCCTGCCCAGCCATAGCCCCCCAGCCCCAGGGAGCCCCCAGAAGCGATGGGCACGCTGGCAGCGCTGAGAGAGCTGCCCACGGCAGCCGAGGCGCTGGATCCCACGGCTGTGCTCTGCGGGAAGGAGCTGAGGATCGGGCCCGGCAGCGTCACCAGCACTGGCGAGGGCTGGATGGCAACGCTGGAGTCGGCGCAGCGCAGGACGCACGGCTCGTTGCAGCTGTTGGCAAGCGGGGTTGGGCCGCAGGCAGCGGGCAGGCACGGGCTGTAGCACGCCATGGCTGCTGGAGGGAGGAGAGCCTGCGGGACCCAGACAGGGAGCAGAGGCCATGAGCTGCCGGGCCCTGGCAGGCGCCAGCTCCGCGCCTCTGGCAACGGGCACTGCCTGGCCAGGGCCACGGAAAAGCCCTCCCTCTTCCCGCACCATCCCAGCTCCCAGCACGGGGGGGGGAGCACAGGGCATTTTCCAGCCTCCAGCCCTGCTCAGAAGGACCCCGCACAGGAGACGAGCAGTCCCCCTCCAGCTGCTCTGCTGCCTCTGGGTGCTCCTTTACCAGGTGATCGTCTGCTGGCCCCGAGGGCAGAGAGCGCCGGCAGGCTTGGTGGGGAGGGCCCCAAGAGAGTCCTCATTAAGCCCCTTCCCAGAATGGGAATATGGATGCTGGGGTTTTCAGGTGGGTTGAGCACAGCCTTGACGCTGTGGCCTTAGGCAGGGAAAGATTTTCTCTTGCGGATCAAGAGGTTCCCTCTCCTTGGAATGGGCTCTGCACTTCCTGGCCATCAGCCCTGGTACCAGCACCCATCTGTTCACGCAGCCAAACGCCCTGCCCTGGAGAGCCCTGGTCTTGCCAGGTCGGGCTCCTCTCACCCTGCTCTCAGGAGGGGACGTGGCTGAGCACAACGCAACAGGCTCCTGAAGACAGCAGCCACTACGGAGGAAGGCGTGAATGGTGGGACTAGCTCTCCTGAGGGAGCTCCTCATCCTGCCATTAGTGCAAAAGCAGCATCGCTGAACTGGGGATGCTGGAGGAAGTGCCCAGGCATCGGATAGACGGCGCTGGCCGTAGGACCTGAGCCTCGGAAGGAGCCACGGCTGGCAAAGAGACCAACCCGTGTCCTGATCCACATCCCAGCCCATTCACCAAGAACCAGGGAGGCCCTCACCCCAAAAACCTGTTCTGTCAACCAGGGAGACAAGAGGCAAAGTGAACTGAGACTTACCAACTTCCCGGAGCAGAGGAAGGCGCGAGGAGAGGATGGAGGAGCTGGCAGTTGGGCCACTTTTATACTGCGGCCCAGAGCCCCAGGGGAGCTGAAAAATGACCCAAACACGAAGCATGTTGAGAAACGGCAATTTTGGCTTCTCAGAGCTCGGCTGGAAGATGAAAGACATGCCTCCTCTACCAGAAATGCTTGGTCCCTTTTCATCCTGGACAAATCACTCATGTCACTGTGTTGATAGCAATTGTGGTTCTCCCGCAGACCAGCGCTCCTTTGAGGTCCCATTCCAGGTGCTGGTGAAGCCTGGGGGCAGATTGAGGCCATGACTGGGTGTTGTGCATGTCCTGCCCTTCCTGGGCAACATGGCCACTGCTTACTTAGCACTCTGCCTGTGGAGCAAGCCTGAAGGGCACTCAGAAGGGTCTCCCTATGGTGGGCTCTGGCTGGCCCTGAGCAAGACCAGTGCCTGCAGGCTATGGAGATGCTCAGAGCCCAGCCAAGCCCCTGCAGGATGGCTGCTCTGCTGAGGGGCCTGGGAACGCCGGGGTGGTTGGGAGGTGATGGTCAAACAAAGCCCCCCTGAGCTCGGGAGGGAGACCCTCTCCCGAGGAGAAGCAGCGGCTCAGCACGTCCTGGAGAGCGATGAAGGAGCTCTTGACTCATGCCTGAGTGTGAGCCATCCCCAAGTGGACCTGTTGGCTTCGGCACGCTCTTCCCAGAGAAAACAACGCTCCTCTTGCATCAGTGGAGGGTGGCTTGTTCAGGTCACTTGACCCGGAGGGTCCGGCTTGTTTTGCCCAGCTCAGGGACAGATGGGCACCTTCAGGGCCCTTTAATTGCAAGGGGGCAGCAGCAGCCACCAGAAAGTGCTGAGCCACTCGGAGAGACCTCAGCTCCACCTCGGGGTGAATCACCCATGCCCTGGCCCCAGGGGCTCTGGGGCAAACGGCTTCAGATGTGCAGAGGTGCAGCTTCACATCCGCGTTCGTTCCTGCAGGCATGCAGCTTTTGGCACAGTGTTGTCAGGACTGTCAGCGTCTTGCCCAAGCACTTGGGGACTCCTTGCAACCCTGTCGTGCTCCTGGGTGAAACAGCAGCCACAGGAGGACAGCACAGATGTGCCCTGACGCTCCCACTCCGAGACGGTTCCGCAGCGCAGACCAAGGGGAGGCAGGCAGCGAGCACCGTGCCTGGGCTGCTCTCCTCCTTGGCCTGCCCCTGCCCCGCTGCTGGATGCAGGAGGCTGGGAGCCATTCCTGTGCCACGAGGAGCCCGGCCTCGGCTGTGCCTGAGCAGAGCTGGGGCAGCTGGAGAGGGCACACGCATCCACTGCCTCAGCAGCCCTGTGGGAACGCCCGAGGGCAGGAAGCGGACACCACAGGCCCGCACTTGCTCCCCGGGAAGCCTTCTGCTTTGAACTGCAGGCACCAGAGGACACGTCCTTGCCAGGCCGGGCAAGGACACCCAAGGTGGAAAGCACCCTCAGCCCAATGCCCAGGGGTTTGCTCCTCTGCCCCTTTGAGCTGGCACCCTTGGGGCTGACGACTCACTTTGGGAATGAGAATTTTGGGACTGGGAAATGACACACTGCCCTGCAGCAAGACCTTTCCCCCTTCAACCTTTTTGTCCCTGCTTTGAGGCCACCTCTAGGAATGTCTCCAGTGCCCCCCTCTTTCACACAACGGTGCTTCTCTCCATCCCACAAAGGGTCCTTCTTTGGCCTTCACCTTCCAACCACCCCGGGGGATCTGAGTTCCCTTCTTTCTGTGTCCCTCCTCCAGAAAGGCATCCGGCCGGGGCTTGGCTGCTTACTGAGCCCTTCCGTGGCCCTGCGGGACCTGTGCTCCTCAGCCTCAGCCCTTCCACAGGTGACCCAGGCGAGTGCCCTTCATCAGCAGCGCTCCACAGAAACCCTTTCTGGGAGCTGGCGGGGAGCTCCACGGCCGTTGCTTTGAGGAGCAGCATCGGATGCATCACCGCTGCGCTCTCACCCAATGGGGAAATGCAAATCAGACCTTTCAGATGAAAGAGACCATTCTCCATCTCATGGCTGTGCTTTGCAAACCCCAAATTGCTGTTTGTTAACGTGCTTCACACAGACACGCGTGTTCCGCGTGTCCCGAGGCGCTGGCTCACCGTATAAAAGGCCGTGCTACTCCAGGCCCTTCCATCCCCAGCTCTTCCCTTGCTCTCCGCGGTGAACTCGGTACGTCTGAACTCCCTTCTTCTCTTCCTGTGGGTAGGGGGGGACTGCTCGTCTCCTGTGCGGGGTCCTTCTGAGCAGGGCTGGAGGCTGGAAAATGCCCTGTGCTCCCCCGTGCTGGGAGCTGGGATGGTGCGGGAAGAGGGAGGGCTTTTCCGTGGCCCTGGCCAGGCAGTGCCCGTTGCCAGAGGTGCGGAGCTGGCGCCTGCCAGGGCCCGGCAGCTCATGGCCTCTGCTCCCTGTCTGGGTCCCGCAGGCTCTCCTCCCTCCAGCAGCCATGGCGTGCTACAGCCCGTGCCTGCCCGCTGCCTGCGGCCCAACCCCGCTTGCCAACAGCTGCAACGAGCCGTGCGTCCTGCGCTGCGCCGACTCCAGCGTTGCCATCCAGCCCTCGCCAGTGCTGGTGACGCTGCCGGGCCCGATCCTCAGCTCCTTCCCGCAGAGCACAGCCGTGGGATCCAGCGCCTCGGCTGCCGTGGGCAGCTCTCTCAGCGCTGCCAGCGTGCCCATCGCTTCTGGGGGCTCCCTGGGGCTGGGGGGCTATGGCTGGGCAGGGCTGGGCCGGGGGCTCGGCGGGGCTCTGGGACGTGCCAATCTCTTATGCTGAAGCCCGTGCATTGCCTGCCCGTGCTCCAGCGCCAGCAGCCTCCACCAAAGCCCTGGAGACAGCCCCGAGCGCGTGCCTGTGCTCTGCAGAGGAGCCGAGCTCCGGCCGCTCCGCCTGCAGGAACCGGCCTGCGCTGCCCTTCTCTCTCTGCCCAGGAAACCTCTGCCTTCCCTTCTCTTGCTCGGCTTTCCCCTCAGTTCCCCCCTCTTACCCGACCTTTCCTTGGCCTCCAAAATGCATTGCTGAAGTTCTCCTCTGTTCCATTTCCCCTTGATTATCTCAATAAAGACGTCGGGCATCAGCTCCTCAAGAGTCATCTTTCTTTGCCCCTTCCCTCTTCTCCAATCCCAACCAGCAGAGTGTCTGTGAGCGTTCCTCCCTGGTAAAACTATGGCTTTCTCCATCGTTTCTGGGCTTGACAGAGCCTCCTCTTTTGCCCTCGACATCCCATGGCAAGGCAGATTGCCTTTCCACAAGTGCAACGAGCTGAATGGCTGGGCGCTGCATGGCTGTAGCAAGAACTGTTGTTGCCTGGCAAAGGTAGAGTGCAGCACTCAGAGATCTGGATGGTTGGGAACTTCCCGACTGTACCCAGAGCACTTCTGGCATGAGCAGGCATTTCCTGACAAGCTGGAATAGAACTGTTGTGGAACACACACACCACTGAGGTCAGGATGGAACTGATGGCTAAGGCCAATCATCTTATGAGCCTATAAGTAACTGTCCCAGGAGAGAGACACTTTGGGCTGTCCTGGACCGCTGTGAGCTGCGCAGGTCGCTCCCTCTGAGTGGGGCACCCCTCAGAGTTCAGAAACTCTCAAGGTTACATTCCACTGCACGCACCGTTGGCTGAGTCTGCGACTCAGATAGGAGCCAGGCGCACCCAGGCTCCATCAGGAGTTTAGAAAGCAACAGGGGTCTGTTCTGAATGTTGTCACTTAAGGGGAGGGTCCCCTTACCCTTGTCACCTTCAGTCTCCATACAAATCATTTTAGCTTGGATCTACCTTGATTTTGTCAGGAGTTTAGAAAGCAGGGGGCATCTGTTCTGAACCTCATGACTCAGCAGCAGGGTCTCCCTCGTATCTTCATGTCTTCAGGCGCAATACCAATCCCCTTTAGCTCTGTTTCACCTCGATTTCCCTCTCAACACTTCAGCTACATAATAAGTAGCAGAGTGAGCCTTGCCATCAAATTCTGTTCAATCATGCCTTATTTCTAATCTGCTCTTGCTAATATCCTTGATGGTCATTTTTTGAGTGACCCTAAAGCAGTCATTTTCCACCACACTCTCCCACATCAAACAGCATAAAAAGCCAGGAGCAGCAGCATCATCATCATCAGTAGCAGCAGCAGGAGGAGGACACTGACGAGGTGGCCGAGTGGTGAAGGCGATGGACTGCTAATCCATTGTGCTCTGCACACGTGGGTTTGAATCCCATCCTCGTCGGTCAGCTCAGTGTTTGCAGCAGATAAGACTTTGTTCTGCTTGTGCTGGGCCAGCCCTGCTGGCAGATCCCCTCGTGTTGGCCAAGCCAGTGGCTTTTGGTAAATGTGCATCCCCACCTTTGAAAGTCCCACCACTCATTGCTTTTGGTGTCGGTTTTAACAGCCCATTATACTGGTTGATTCTCCCAGAGGCTGGTGCACGGTAGGGGATGTGAAATACCCGCTCAATGCCGTGCTCTTTGGCCCAAATGTATGAGGTTGTTCTGGAAATGAGTCCCATTGTCTGACTCAGTTCTCTCTGGGCTGCGGTATCGCCTCAAAATCTCAAGGCCCAGGATAGTGTTACGGGCAGTGGCGTGGGGCACAGCGCATGTTCCCAGCCGTCCGGTGGTTGCTTCCACCATGGTAAGCACACGGCGCTTGCCTTGATGTGTTGGTGGCCGTGTGATACAATCGATCTGCCAGGCCTCCCCATAGTTGTTCTTCAGCCACCGTCCCCCATACCAAAGAGGCTTTAACTGCTTGGCTTGCTCAATTGCAGCACAGGTTTCACGCTCCTGAATAACCTGAGCAATAGAGTCCATTGTTAAATCCACCCCACGATCACCAGCCCATCTGTATGTTGCATCTCTGCCCTGATGGCTTGACGTGTCGTGGGCCCACTGGGCCAAAAATAATTCACCCTTATGTTGCCAGGGCTAAAAATAATTCACCCTTACATTGCCAATCTAAATCCGTCTGAGCCGCTTCAGCCTTAGCAGCGTGATCCACCTGTTGATTGTTCTGGTGTTCCTCAGTGGCCCGACTCCAGGGTACATCAGCATCTACATGGCGTACCTTCACCACCAGGGTCTGCACCCGGGCAGCGATATCTTGCCACAGCGCAGCAGCCCAGATGGGCGTACCTCTGTGTTGCCAGTTGCTCTGCTTCCATTGCTGCAACCAGCAGCACAGGGCATTGGTCACCACCACCTTGCCACAGTGCAAGATATCCACAACCTCTCTGGGCTCCTGCACACAGTGCTCAGCAGAGCTCCGGCTGCCCCAGCTCCAGCCTGACGTGGTTCAAACCCAGCCAGTACCTCAGCACCACGCACCCTGCTCCCAGCCCAGGCTGGACGGGGAGAATCAAAGGGATGGAAAACCATGGAGTGTGATAACAGCAGTTTAATAACCAAATTAAAGTATGATATTGTAATAATAACAATGCTATACTAATAATAAATAAGAACAACAATGAATATTAACATAGATTAATTATAATTAATTATAATGATAATAAAGTAGCACACAATTATAAAGTACAATTATGATAATACAATAATGATAAGAATGATGATAATTATAATGATGACAATCACAGAATCCCAAGGGTTGGAAGGGACCTCAAAAGATCATCTAGTCCAACCCCCCTGCAAGAGCAGGGTAACCTAGAGTACATCACACAGGAACTTGTCCAGGCGGACCTTGAATATCTCCAACGTAGGAGACCCCAGAACCCTCCTGGGCAACCTGTTCCAGTGCTCTGTCACTCTCACAGTAAAGAAATTGTTCCTGATGTTCACTTGGAACCTCCTATGCTCCGGTTTACACCCATTGCCCCTTGTCCTGTCACTGGACATCACTGAAAAAAACCTAGCTCCATCATCCTGACACTCACCCTTTACACATTTGTAAACGTTGATGGAGTCACCCCTCAGTCTCCTCTTCTCCAAGCTAAAGAGACCCAGCTCCCTCAGCCTCTCCTCATAAGGGAGATGTTCCATTCCCTTAATCATCTTTGTGGCTCCGCGCTGGACTCTTTCAAACAATTCCCTGTCCTTCTTGAACTGAGGGGCCCAGAACTGGACACAATATTCCAGATGCGGCCTCACCAAGGCAGAGTAGAAGGGGAGGAGAACCTCTCTTGACCTACTAACCACACCCTTTCTAATGCACCCTAGGATGCCATTGGCCTTCTTGGCCACAAGGGCACATTGCTGGCTCATGGTCATCCTCCTATCCACCAGGACCCCCAGGTCCCTTTCCCCTTCGCTACTGTCCAGCAGGTCAGCCCCCAACCTGTACTGCTACATGGGGTTGTTCTTCCCCAGATGCAAGACTCTACACTTGCCCTTGCTGAATTTCATCAAGTTCCTCTCTGCCCAACTCTCCAGCCTGTCCAGGTCCTGCCGAATGGGAACACAGCCCTCTGGTGTGTCAGCCACTCCTCCCAGTTTAGTGTCATCAGCGAACTTGCTGTGGGTACACTCAGTTCCCTCATCCAGGTCGTTGATGAAAATATTAAACAGCACTGGTCCCAGCACCGACCCCTGAGGGACTCCACTAGTCACAGACCTCCAGCTAGATTCTGCCCCATTAATCACAACTCTCTGCCTTCTTCCTTCCAATCAGTTCTTGATCCACCTCACTACCTGATCATCAAGCCCACACTTCCTTAGCATATCTATGGGGATGCTGTGGGAGACTGTAACAAATGCCTTACTGAAATCAAGAAAAACCACATCTACCACTCTACCACCATCCAGCCCCCTAGTTACTTCCTCATGGAAGGCTATAAGGCTGGTCAAACATGACTTCCCCTTGCTAAAACCATTTTGGCTGCTCTTAATGATCCCCTCATGCTTGATATGCCTAGGGATGGTGTCAAGAATAAGTTGTTCCATCACCTTTCCAGGGATGGAGGTAAGGCTGACCGGTCTAAAATTACCCGGGTCCTCCTTCTTGCCCTTCTTCTAGACTGGTGTGACATTTGCCATCCTCCAATCCTCAGGCACCTCTCCTGTTTCCCACAGCTTACCAAAGATGATGGAGAGTGGCCCAGCAATGACCTCCGCCAGCTCCCTCAGGACCCGTGGGTGTAATCCATCCAGACCCATTGATTTATAGATGTCCAGATTGCTTAACAATAGTGATAATAATAATATAAAAGTAGTAGTAGTAGTAATAATAACAACAGTTATAATGGATATAACAAGGGGAGACA